TTAGTCGGAATACACTTTTTTTTTAATTCAAAATCAGCTACAAATTCTTTTTAATTTATATGTATTCTAAAAAGCTCCCACTTCAAGTCTTCATGGAACTAAAGATAATGCATTTTGTATAGAAAATAAAAAAAATATTGAAAATTAAATTAAACCTCTGGAGTTAGAGTTATTTTCCTTGCTCAAAGTGAAACGCAAAAATTTGTCAAACAAAAATATTTGAGGCGGAAGTGCCTGCCATTCATATTGAGCAAATTTATTTGCGGACGTATATGTACGTATTTGTCAAATTACTTTTCCAATTCAAACATGTTACTCGTAAAATGCGAATGAGTAGAATTTATTGGCATTTCCGCACCCTTTTTCACGCCTTCTCACCACCTCAGCCCGCCAAATATCATATTTAAATGCAAATTCGAAATCAAAAAAAATTAATTTATTTTCAAGCAGCTGTTGCTAACAAGTTGCTGTAACTGTTGCTGCTGCTGCTGCTGCTGCTCAATAAAATATTTATATGACAGTATTAGCGGTTTTGTTTGACAGTTCGATTGCGTACAAATTGAATGTCTGTCTCTATGAGCAACAGCAAAAGTGTACAATGAATTTGGTCGAAATCAACTACTGATTTTCAATGCAAGTGAATAAGTGTGCGGGTGTGTGTATGTGTGTATGTGCGTATGTGGAAAAGGGGGTATTGAGAGATAAAGAGAGAGAGAAAATATTGTCCCTTCATGACATTTTTCAAGCCTACCGTGATGCCTTGAAAAGTGACCAAATATTCAATTAATATTGCCTGGAACTTTGTTGCTGGATTTTTTTCATGAAAAAAAAATAAATGCAAAAAATGTGTGTTTAAATTCAAAGTGTTTTTTTTTTGTTGATTTTCCATATTTTAATGATTTCAAAATTTGCCACATGAGTCAAAAATATTCGAGTAAATTGCACTAATTTTGTGTAACTTGTTGAAATATTGCTTTACTGATTTGGCCAAATGCATGCGGTTACACGAAATGTAAACAAATAAATATTTTTGTATATGTATGCACGCATATTGAAACACAGTTCAGGAAAACATACAATAATATTTTTAATAACTTAACTTGAAGTGCATACAAACCGCATTCAGTTATGCATATAATATATGAGAGTAAATATTAGTTTGAAATTAGAAAATGTTGGTATTCTGAAAATTACTTAATTTAGTTTTAAATTGATGTGTGAAGTTTAAATGCTTTTTATTTTATTTTATTTTAACTTATATTTTTTTTCTTTTATTTTTTATTTTATTTTATTTTATTTTATTTTATTTTATTTTATTTTATTTTATTTTATTTTATTTTATTTTATTTTATTTTATTATTTTTTTTTTTTCTTAAATTTGTTCGTTTAAGTAGGGACAAGTAGGGACATTCTGCATTTCACAACAGCAGCTTGCAAAGTGCTTGTTATTTATATTTCGCCAATGTAAATATTGTAATATTAAGATATTAACTCTAATGCCTGACCATAAAAAAATTTTAATCTAACAACTTTTGCACATAAAAACGCACAAACAATCAGACGAGCTGTCGAAATGCTTGCAGTTTGAAAATCCAGACATACATAAATACATAGAGAACTGGCTATAATTGCTCTTGAACTTCTTCGTGCTCATTGACATGCAAGCAGTTGCACTTCAGTACATATTTACTTACATACATATACATCTGGCTTTGTATCGTCACTTAGCGTATGTTTTCTGCTTTTCCTCTTTATTTTCTTTGTCCGTCCGTCGACTGCATTACATTGTCTATGCCTGCTGCATGCGCTGTAGGCAACTTTCTCCACACTCAAAAGTAGTTTTGAGATTTTTATTGGCCCACTGGATCTATGTACAACCGACTGACGGTAGTGCGGAATTGTGTGAATAAAAGATTTTGCTACGTTAATGTTGTTGTCGTTGCTTAGCATACATACGTACATATGAACATGAAAACATATTGACAAAAGTTTCTTATTGCTTCATATTTGGTATTCTAAAAATAAGACGATGGAGACATTTTGAAAAACTTTCATTGCATTTCTCGCAAGTATGTTTGTGTGTAGAATGTGCTTGTTCGTTTGTGCAAATTTTTTGTGCCACTTTTCGCATTCTTCATTCCAAATATGCCCTGGTTTTTGTTTTGACTCGCACTGTGTGTGTGTGAGTGAACTCATCGCCAGAGGCAAATTTTCTAATTTCATATTGTCTGTTATTCAAGCAAACATTTCGGTAATGCAATTTTGCTTTTGATGTCTGTGGGGTTTCGGCAACACAAATCGGTCTTTAAATGTACAACTAATTTTTCAAAAGGGATTCTAGCTTGACATACAGCTCAATTGGAAGTTTCTGATTTATTCATTATAACAAATTCACTCCGAAATAGCATTTATGCAAATTTTTGAAGAATTTATGGAAAATTTGAGTAATTTTAACACATCGAACCTCGCTTCGGCAGAAGCTTGTATAGAACAGTGAATCATTTCAAAAATAGTTTAGTGTATCAGACTTTGAAGCAGTTTAATTGGAAACCAATTCTTACTGTATTGAGATTAGTCGTACTAATTTCAATACTGACATAAAATTTTAGACATCCTGGAAACATGTGAAAGAACTCCTTGCGCAGAATGAGATAGCAGGCCGTTATTTTTCCTTGAATTACGGTTTTAGTATACCTTAAATTCTTATCTGGCTGTGGCGAGGCTGCAAGAGGTCCTCTGGCGCAATATATATGCACCCAGAAAATATCCCTCTCGCAGAATGAGGATTGATCCTTGTGACCTCGAGATAGATCCTTAAAGAGGTGTGAATTTGGTGAATAAGAATACTATCGCTCACTGGATAGACGATCATCTTGCTACAACCCAATATACACAAGATTTTTCAATATTTCACTGATTTGCGCCCGCTTATCGACAGAAGAGAAGATGTGTCCAGAGTTGAATTTTATGATGTCGCAACCAGTGTAGGCAAGGAAGGTATCTTGGATCCTAAAATCAACTATGATGCTGATCCGTCTCGCAATGGGCTGAATCTACTCAAACACAGCAGGGTCGTAAATATAGCTACCTGACGCCAACATAAAATAATCCCTATAGCCGCTTGGATGACATCGGATGGAAAAACTCAAAACCAAATTAAGACATTAGCGAAAGACTATTCGAGATGGTGAACAGGGGAAATAGGTGAAAAATGATTCAACTTCCAGTTAATATAAGGACCGGAGCTTTCTTTTCTAGGTTTAGAATATAATGAGTTTATGCAGAGAACACTTCCCCAGCCCGCTTAATTGTAGTGACGAAGTATCAAAAATTCAATTTGGAATTATTTCCGTTATATTAGGTTAAGTAACAAGTAAACCATTATTTTTATAACAGACGACTTTAGTGATCTGTAATCTCGCTGCTACAGCTGCGATTAGATTTCGCTTGATGATATTTTGTACTAAAAAAGGGAATGGCTGAAATGTTAATTACGTAACTCAGTAGTGTTTGAGCCCACGTCAAAATGGCCGACATAAAAGCTGCTCCATGGTGTGTCACGGCACAAACGGTTTCCAAGGCAAGGTTGACAGCCAGCATGGTTTTGTTGTGGGTTTGATAGGATTGACAAGGAATCTTCTGCTACGAGTTCCTCCCCTAAGGCCAAGCTCTTAACTCGGACCTATACTGTCGGCAACTGGACTGGAACGAAGTATTAGCCTAAACGCACCCAGTTTTGGCTAACAAGGGTAGATGTTTCATCAGGACTACGCCAGACGAGCTTAATTGGGATATTTTTATGTTTTCGCGTTATAGTCCGAATCTGTTTTTGTCTATGGCGAATGATTTGGCTGGTGGAGAGATGTCTTCAAGGGTAGCTTTTGAAAGTGGATCGCCATAATTATTTTCCTAGAGACAAGAGTTTCTATGAGAGAGTCGTAAAGTCATAACAATGGCAAAAGATATCGAGCATGACTGTTAATATGTAAATCGGATAATTCAATTTAATGCAAAAATAATGGATTACTTTTTACTAGATCCGATTTGAGGTGTGCGTCTTGACGTTTTTTCTACAGATGGAGGCACCTCCAGTTTATACTAAGCCACCTCCGAACGGCTGATGATTTTTTATGGGAAGCCATTATTTCACCTCATAAATACACTCGAATGGGTTGACATTCCCTGGAAATTGGAAAAACTAGTTTTCTTTAATTTTGGTATTTAGTCGAGCCAGGCCTCAAACCTTGGCCCTCCGAATGTTATCATGCAATACTAACCACTTTACTGCGGACATTTAACCATTTCGTTCAGTTGGGGACTAATTTCTAACTGAAATTTCGTTCTATATAATAAATTTGCAAAAACCTGCCGGGTATTAGAGATAACTCAAAGGTTTTGTCAGTGAAATTCTACTTAAACTAATGCATTATTTATATTTTTTTAGCAATTTTTACTTCTTAACTAATAATTTTACATAATTTTAGATCGGCAAAGTGTACGAAAAGGTGTGGTCCCAACAAATGGCAGTGGATTTTGGCCCAAGCAAAATCTCGGTACAGGTAGTACGGTACTCTATCGATGTATCCTTGATCCTTGATGAAAAAACTAAAAATCCTCTCTAAGGCCAAATACCTACTAATAAATGTGTTGTGCGCCAAAAACCCAAAAACTGTTAGTAATTGATGTTAGAAAATTCCGAAAACATATCTTTAAAAATATTTGAAAATCATATAAAATGAATAAAATGAACTTCCGTTATATACAAATGTATGTTGTGCTGAAAATCAAAAAAATCGATTCTCCAACACGCTCCTCATTCTCCTCTACTCGTTTCCCACTGGTAACTGTTGAACTTCGCTGAGCTTTTTCTGTTTCTTCTACCAAAACAAAACAAAAACCTTCAATTTTTATCCTCTTGTATGGTATTAATGTTTATTTTTGTGTGCAACACTAATAAAAATATTAAAAAAAAAATTCTTATATGTATGTTTCTCATGCAGATAAGAATCGCAATGCCAGTCCATCCGTCTCCGGTGATAAGAAGTCCAGTTTGGTTGATGCTGTCGATCCGGCCACAAGCAGCGGCGATGCCAAATTAAAGCCCAGATCTAGGTTAGTGTATGCCACACCCCATTTTTTTTTATTTATAATGCAAATATGCCCTTTCATTGAGTTTTCGAATTAATGACCTGTGTATGTATGTCTGTATGTATGACTTCTCGACTCAAATTACAGGTCACTCATACGCCGTGCATCACGCAAAACCAAACAGCAAATCAACAACGCGTCCGACGACTGTAATTTGCAATAAGGTGAAGAAATCAAAAGAAGATAGAAAGAAGGAGGAGTTGCGAAGAATCGAAAAAAACAGAAATTACAAACACCAGCAGCAGCACAAATGTAGGCATGGAAATGAGCGAAAGAAGGCTCGAAGGAAAACTGAAGCACAAAAAGTCAAAATTACAATTAACTGCGTATATACGTATACGTGAATATATACGTATGTATGTGCATAGAGTTTGGAAAAGTAAAAATGTATAGACGTAAGCATGCGCGTATGTATGTATGTACATTTGATTTCGCAAATTTAATTAGCCATCAAGCAGTCAGTGCTACGCAAGCAAGTGAAATTGAAATAGAAAAACAAAAAAAAAAAACAGAAAAAAAACAACAAATATTTAAACATTTTGATATGAACGCTTAATTAGTATTATTATTATTATTATAACGTTAATATATATATATATATATATATATATATATGTATACATATATATGTACAAAGTAAAGAATGCAAGTGTCATTGATTAATTGAAAGAAATTAACTCCGTTTATACAAATGCGTATATACGTGTATGTATGTATTTAGATAGCTGCATGTGCATATTAATTGTATGCACATTCATACATAAATATGTGTGTAGACTTGTCAGCCAGTTAATAATAATGATTTAGCTACGGATTTATTAAAATAGTTAAACAAATAAAATGAATTGAGATTTGGTGAACAATTAATTATTATTATAGAGAAGATATACGAGTATATGATTAGTATTTATTTGTATTACATACATATGTATCCATTGTTACATACGTACGTATCTAGTTTAATCACGTACTAGTTATTCAAATTTAATAGAAAAAAAATAAATATATATATATATTTATAAGTTTTTATAAAAATGTTGCATACATATAAAACAAAACTCAGATTTTAATAACCGTTATGCATTTTGAAACACAATTTCAAATGTACAGTATTAAAAAATGTTTTTAATTTTTTTTTTAGCAAAATTTATTTACCTTTATTTTTATTAATATTAGGAAATGCTTTTTAATGAAAGTAATGCAGATGTATGGGTAGACGGCAGTGATAGTAACAATCTTAATGCAAATTTAAGTACCTATTTTCCCGTTATAAAAATTCACAAAATTGCTTATCATTTCGTTGTATATACGAATACGTACAGTGGATTTAGCTGCTCCGTTAAAATGCATCTCTTATTATGCATGGCGTTGTAGTTGGACAAAAAAAATTTAATGAAATTAGAACTTGAAGAAAGTTTGCTGAAAATACGCCAATCACGATATTTTGTTAAAAAAAAATAGGTGAGTCAGTTTTAACCATTTCTATTTATAATTTTGGGGGTCATTTCAGTGTTTTGTTGCAAATTTATTTGCCGGATTTGTCACTTATCATCAGTAGTGCATTAACTATATTTCATATGTTTTTTTTATATTTATTTGTGTAAGTGAAATTAAATATTTTAAAGAATTAGTGTTTAACCCTTCTAGAAACAATGGTAGTGATAATTCTATTTATTTAATTTTCCTGCCAAGATGACGCAAATAATACGCAATAAAATAGCCATAAAAGTTCCTATAATTTTCAGCAAACTCGCTATACTATTTACCGCATTTGGCTAATGCGCTTATTTCTATTGTGAATTAAAAAGAACATATTGTAATTCGGTCGCGATTGCCGAGTGGTTAGCATTGCGTACTGTCGGAAGGCCCGGTTCAGGTGCTGCTGTCGTACTAACATCAACAAACTGTAGAAAATTAATTAGTTAATTAATTAATTAATTTAAAATAAAAATTAAGCTAAATATTTTAATTGCGGTTACCCCTCGGCAGCGAATGTCAACCCCTCCGAGTTTATTTCTGCTATTAAATAAAAGCTTCTCATAAAAAACACATCTGAGGTGGCTTAGTGTGAACTGTAGGTGCTGCCATTTGTTGGAAAAACATCAATATCAAGCGCCAATTATATATATATAATATATCATTACATTGACAGAAGGCAGTTTTAATGATTTTTTCCTTGATAAGACCAAAAAAAATAAATAACAAAAGAAGTGGAAACAAAAATGAACAAAATTAAGTGACCAAAAATTTGTATTTGCTTTAGGTTGCGTTACCTATTTACTGCTATAAAAATGTAACAGATTTGAGTATTTATTACACTGACAGACGGCATTATTAATGCGCATTAGCAATTTTTAATACGAGCTTTAATGCATTTTGCTTTGGCAATGAAGGAAACAAAAATTAGCAAATATAAGAAACAAATATATTTAATAACCATAAAGTTTTTTTTTAAATTTGAAAACAGTTGTGCATTAAATTAAACTCAAGCTCACCCATATGGCTTTGAAAATGTTATGCCTTTTTTTTAATTTTATTTTACATATACAAAAGCTCCATCAATAATTCCTTAAATTGTTAGAATTTCTGTATTTCTAAAATATACATATACACAACAACAACGCCGAATGCGAAATGCAAAACCATTCGTGGCATTTCGGCACAACAACAAGAATTTATACATACTTTCACACAATTCCCCACTATGCACTACTAGTTTGCATAAATATTTGTCAAGCTTAACGGTTCAATGGGATTTTAAAAATGGAAATTACATTCACAGCGAATGCGACATGAACGTGTTGTGTTGCCTATTTGCATAAATAAGTTAATGCTATTAGGCGAAAAATTGATCTGTCACAGATGCTTTAGATGCATAGATGCAAGAGCGATATTTACGAATATGAATATGTACAATGTTTCGTAATTAAATTACACTGAAAAGATAAAAAGTGAATTTAAGAAATAAAAATGTTGTAATTATTTGTCATATTAATTAAAATCTACGCTACAGCACCTGAAAAAAAATTAAAAGTTCGTAAAAAATATACATCATCAATGCTCATTCATAATTATTCCATTCGCCTTGCGCTTTGTTTGAGCAGTTAATGGAAAATATGGCTTTCTAGTCAACTAAAAATAAGTTACTCATACGCAGCGTTGTACGCCGTTGTACGCTGAGCTCCTATTACGTTAGAAAATCAAGCACATAAGTATGTATGTATGTATGTATGTATGTATGTATGTATATGTAGATATACCCTCCATTGCCTAAGCATTAAATATGCATAAAAAATATATCCACTTTTAATTGTCTCAAACTTTTAACAACACCGCATATCATGTCAATACATATGTATGTGTATATATATGTAAATTAATGTACCTACAAACATGCACATATGAGTTCTAAAAGTTTAATTCACCCACCTACCTGCATCATTCAGTACTCATACAGATACATTTTTATAAGTATATGCAACTGCCTTGCATACTCTTATTTATGCTATATACACGTATACAAACATATTTACACTTTTATGCTTAGGTATAAGCATTAAGTTGATACTTATCAATATTTAAGTTTGTGTTTGTTTGTTTGTTTTTTTGTTGTCTAACAGCAGTTAATAAGTCAGTTCGGTTGTGTTCTGTTTCTCTTGCCATTTTTTGGTTGTCATGTAAACATGTATGTATGTATGTATGTAGAAACAGAAATTTATGCACAACTTTTTAATTGTGTTCGAGAATTGTTTGCGGCGAACCACACCGCACTTACACTCTTAGTTTTGAATTCAAAATTTTCGTTTTTTTCTTTTGCTTGCTAATATTTATTTAGGCATGAAACAAGGAAAATGTGGCATTGTAGTCTACTTTTAGGCAGAAGGTCCTTATCTAGTCGGTTGTGGGACCGTTTGTGTGTTGGTTGGGCAAGTAGAGTCCATATAGGTCTACATTGAAATAGTATATTACCGTAATGAGTGTGAATATTTGATGATTATTTTCTTTTTCAATTGAAAAGATTTCTTAGATTGAGACAAAATTTTAATGAATTTCAAATTTTGTAGAAACTATAATGTAAGCGAACTCTCCTCTTTTTGTGCTTCCTTCTTCGTCAATTTCTTTTTTCGGTTGTCAAAATCACTCATGAATAGCCACGACATAAGGTTTCTAGAATACAAGGTTACGACAACCGTTGACGTCACCGTACTAACTTCGTCATATTCATATTATATTATTTTTTGAACATAACAAAATAAAATATAGCAAAAACTTTCTTAAACAGTAAAAAATAAAAAATATACAATTTTTTTTTACATAATATAATACTTACTGTTTACATATTTTATATTTCACTATCCGAACAGTTCGAGCTCACGTTTTCAGCTGATGATGTCATTCAAATAAGGAATTTGTTTAAATTTTTCAGAAGAATCATGGACATAAAATTTTTGTTCACCATAACTCAGTGCACCCTTTTCACGACGTATTACAAGACAGAGATTAACCGTTTCCATAAGGCTTTTTAGCAGATAAAGAAAATGCTTTTGAAAATCGATTTTTGTATTAAATTTTTATAAATAACACGCGTTCGCCCCGATTTGTTGAAATTGTTATTGAATTCAAAATATTGCAATCCAGTTAAAATTTTGCAAATTTATTTTAAAATCTACGTCAACGCACAAAATTGCAACAACTACAGTATGTCAAATAATTGTTTGGAAAATGAAGAAAATCAAACAAATTAATTTTTCAACTTGATTTTTATTAACTAAAACGATTTTCTTTAACTTTCCTTTTTTTTAAATAATATTAATATGAGTAATCTCAACATCAATACTGCACACAAATTCCAGAATTCAAGACATAAAAGTAAAAGAGATATGAAAATTCAAAAGACAGCAGATATTATGGTATCAATTAATTCTTTGCATTTTGTAAATTAATTAAAACTGGCAAAGTATAGCAGTGTTGGTACTAATATTTGGTATGATGGTACTAATATTTGGTATGATGCCCAGTTGCTTCCACAGCAGCTCGAAGACGACAGGGCATGGGCTGTAAAAGGTCGCTTAAGTCATAATTTTCAGGTATTTCGTTCGACGCTGCCTGAAAGACCTTAATAAGGTCACTCGGTTCTTAAAAACGGCCCATAAATTTTCGATAGGGTTCAAATAAGGACTCTGTCCTGGTACAGTTTGTATTGTGGATGAGTGCATAAGTTCGTGCCCGATTTCAAGTGCAAACTAAAATTGAAATTTTTTGAAGAAAGCGCTTTTATTAATCAATTATGTATTCGCCATCATGTTCGGCAATCCACTTCCAACGTTCAACCAATTTACGGATGCATGATTCATAGAAATCGCGCGGTTTCTCGTTGAAAAAGGTGTCAAGGTGGTTTTTGACGTCTTCCACATTTTTAAATTTTTTTCCATTCAAATTGTTCTGCAGCGATCGAAACAAATGATAATCAGAAGGTGCAATGTCGGGTGAATATGGGGGATGCGGCATGATTTCCCAATTC